TTCGAATGAGGTAAAGTAAGGACAAAATATGTAAGTGTGTATACAAAAACTACTTATAAAAATCTACACTCACATATTTGTTATTTTGATCAAATTAGTTATAAAATACAACATTGTAGGTTTAAAAATTAAAAGAATTTTTCATTTGCCTTCTTTCCATAGAAATATTTAATTAGTTTTTAATCAAAATTTTAATAATTCATGAAAAAAAACTTTCAAAATTTTATTTTAGAATTTTCATTATTCGCCATATCTATATAGATAAAATTTTTCTATTTTAATGGAAATTAAAATGTCAAAGATGGTGAGTTGGGGTACGCAATTTTATTTAATTCGGTATTCATTAAAACTGAAATAGGATCTATTTATAATACAATGTTCAGTTAATTATGCTTTTAAATATGATATAATAAAGTAAAAAATTTGTATTGCAAACAATATTTCTAACTTCGATTGTTATGCCGAGAATATTTTACATGAATTCCGTAATATTATGCAGATTTAAATTGCATACGAATTTGTATATAGCAATAAAGTAATTTCGATTTTGTAAATGTGTCAAGTTGGTTGGTTTATGTGACCGGTGTAACAAAGCACCACAGCTTGAACTCCAGATCATTTATCAGCGTACGATGACAGGTGGCCTTGCTAAGCCACCCGATTTTTTATTGAGGAATATATCTAAATTCCCTATGTCAACCTACGACCATCTCTTATTTTGATAATTCAAGTACTTAATAAATTTCAAAATTTTATAGAACTTTGAATATTAAAATTCGGTTCTCAGTAGTATTACAAGATGAAATTTCGAAATATGAATTTCATTAAGAACCTTGTTAGCACGAATATGAAATGTTTTCTAGTAGAACTTTGTCTGAAATAAAATAAATTTCATATAAATATCCTGAAATTGGTTTGATATTAAATATTAAAAAAGTATATACTCTTTTATGCAAGTTATTTTTAAAATTATTATTAATTTTGGTATTTTGAAAATTTTAAAGAAATTTTATTTTGAATGAAGTTTCATATATAACACTAATTTAGGTTTTGATTTAGATTTTAAATTAATTGCAATTAAATTCTGTAAAATATTGCATGCTGCTAGGCGTAAAGTAAAATATATGTATTGTGGAATGAGAATGAGAGTCAAACTCCTACAAAATATAAATTAATGTTTACGTATGTATATTAAGCAACAATATTATTAAGAATTATGTGATTCAAGTTTAATGTTCGAATATTGGATTCGGAGAGTTGAAATCTTACGATTCTTCGAAATTTTTTTGTTGAGTTATGCCTGGTCTCATAGTGTCAATATTCCTTGATTAATATTAATATTGTATATTTATTCTGAAGTAGGAGCATTATTTAACAGTAACTTTATGTGTGTATCATTACTCTTACATCTAGAATATGAGCATTATTTATGAAGATTATTGAGTAATAATATGACACATAGGTAGTTGTGTACACTCAATTTAAGATTTATCGGATGCCTAATGCAACAAAAATATTTTAAATCGTGCTATATAACGTATATGTGTAAAATTCTGAAAAAATTTAATTTATGATTTGCTTGAATAATTTGGAAACGAATATTATCAAAGGACCATAAATAAAACGGTAAATTATGTAAGTGTAAAAAGAGTAAAAAAAGTTTCAAGGATTTTTTTACCTAAAAAAAAATTAAAAAATTTAAAAAAATATTAATCAACAGGGCTAAAATTCTTCTTAAGATTTTTCTCATAGCATTTGATTAATTTTGTGTTCTTTTGGAATTCAAAATGCCTAAATATTTTCTGGCTACCTTTTGAAAGGACAGAAAATTAATTTACTAAATAAATAAAAAAAAAATTGTAAAATTTCAATTTTTAACACGCTACACTAAATTTTTTGGAATTTTTATCAACTTTAAAATATGTTGAAAGTATTGAATTAAAAAAATTCTCGATCTCTAATTTCTTTATTAAATTTTTTCTATTTTAAACAGAAAAAAAAAAATTTAACAAAAGATTTTCGAATTTTTGATTTATTGCTATTATAAAAACACTCAAACGTATTAGACTCCCGCTGACTCTTTAAAAGTTAGAATACAAAAATAATTTAAGTAAGATTTTTATTTAAGCACATTTCTTTGTGCACAAAGTTTTGGGTCGTTATAAGCAATTTATTGTATTTTAATTTATTTACTGAATAAACGTTTTATCCAATAACATTTTGATGTGGCTGCCATACTGCAGTTTGTCAGGGGCCTTGGTATAGAACTAATGTGAGGAGGATGGGAATCACAAGAGATCCGATGGGTCGACGTCAGGGGGGCCTAAGGGCCTCGGACCCCGAGGAAAAAAAAAACTGTAGCGTTTATTATAAGAGGTCTAACATGTGGTCTTGTCATAACGGTTATCAGAATTTAAATGAATAAATCTCAGAGTCGCACGAAAATTTTATTGGATCTGTATATGGTCGGGCTGAATGCAAAATCAATTTAACCTATTTTTATGTGTTTCTAATAATGAACTGTTTTGATGTGATCAGAAAGTATATTAATTTTTATAAAATATTTTGAAAGCATAAAATCTGATTTTTATGTACGCTGATTTTAACAAAAATCAAATAAAGCAACATCACTTTTAAATCACATTAAAAAGCAATAAAAATAAAATAAATGTTGAACTTTTTCATAAAAGTTTGAAATTTTGTTTTTTTTACTGTTTTTTTTTTTTGTTTTAAGGCACAAACACAAAAAAGTAAAGTTTTGAATTCAATTATAATTAGAATTTCTTTTGTTTTTGTTTCATAAAAACAGTGAAAAATCATTGAATTTTCTAAATAATAATGAATTCAAAGTATAAAATATATTTGTATATGTTTATGTAGATTTGATTAATTCAAAAAGGATCAATAAGTTGTTGAAGAATTTCAAATTATTTTGATAAACAATTTTGGTACTTTTTTTTAATATTTTACACATTGTTTTCTAAATTAATCAAACTTTGCAATTTTATAAAGTTTGTTAAGCGATTTTTGGTACATTTTTCTTTTAATTTCTTTAATTTGTTTATAATTATAAGGGGTGTTGTTTTGAATGCTAATTTTTTTTTGCTTTTACGCTTTCACAATACAACAATGAATTTTATGAACTCTAAATGGTACAAGTTCAAGTAAATTAATATTAAATTATAATAAAATCGATCTGACTATTTAAACCTTAAATTAAGTAAATAATCAGAAAAAGTGTTTTCTATAATTAAATTGGACAACCACTGTAATAATGGAAACCACAATAATAATAGAAATTTTCGACATAAAAATGAAGAAATGACAGATTTTTCAGTAAAATTTTAAAATTACACTTAGCACGTGTATACTTTAGATGATTTGTTGTTAGTGTGGGTCCGGAGTGTGTAAAAGGCAAGTTGTTATTAAAAAGAAAAATTCAATACACATAATCCCTTTAATGGGTTCATAAATTTTTGTTAAATTTCAACAATTCTCAATAATTTATTTAAATTTCAAGGTCAAAATAATTTTGAAAATTTTAAAATATGGTATGAGCTTTGTATAATAACATTAAATTCCATTTCTAATATTACATTAAAAATTTATAAGTGAATTGTTTTGAAATAATTCATGGAATTTATTCTACCTTTCTACTCTCTCTAATGGCACTTTATTATATAAAAATATTTTTTTTGCACTTATTTGTTTTATTCAGTAGGGTGAACTCATTTATTAAGAAGAAAAATGGACAACAATGTAATGTAAAATCTTAAGTGTGTTTACAATAAGTAAGTAGTCATATTTTTGCATAAAATATGTGAAAACGAAAAAAAAAGAACAAAAGTGAGGAAAATAAAAGGAGCCCGGTAAATTTCCATCCAATTCAATTTCCCATTGTAGTTAAAATAAATTTTCCCTTTATTTGCGTTTATTCAAAAGAGAATCAGTAAAATTAAATTTTTTCATTTCACAGAATATTTGGTGGTTTCTTCTCATAGAGATTTTCTAAATTTATTTAAGTAATATCAAAGATCATTTTAAATGCTGTAAAATTGGATGTTTTGTGGGTGCTTAAACCGCATTCTAACTAAGTAAGAAATTTGAAGTCGGTTTCAAAATCAAGTATCACTAAAAAGTGCATCAAGCAGGGGATGGCTCTAAACTGAAGTTGTAAAGAAATACATTACAATTTTGCAGTTTCAAGTATGTTGCTTTTCTTTTATTAAGTTAAAAGTTTTAAAATGTACCGCCCGAGCTGCATAATTTAATTTATAAACTGTTTCTACATATATTGGTAATGAGTTGGCTCATCTAACTGCCATATTTGATAGACATAAGACCTGCTCAGTTAGCTCTGCTCTGATGTCTCCTCAGCGCAAAAATATCAAATTCATTGTGGCAGAATTACTCACAGGAAATTCTAAGTTATCTTTTTCAGATAATACTTCAAGAGTTGTCTTTTGTCTATCGAGTTCATCTGTCCTGCAATTTTCTGAGATATTGCTGTGCCCTGGAACCCTAATCAGGTCTATGTTCCTACACTTCTCTAATCTCGTTAAGAAGTGACAAGCTATTTCGACTGTTCTAAAAGCAAAGGAAAGCTTTTTGGAGTTTCTGTTCAAACCCTGTGTTATTGAATGATTTACAAATGTTTTATTCATTAAAGTTTTTATACTTGTCCCGTTGAAAGAAATTTAGTTTTTAATTTTCTGTTTGTAATATGAAATAATTTAGTAATTTTATTAAATTCAATTCAAAGTTTTAATTAAAAACTAAAACTTTTTAAAGAAAATTTATTTTGCCATTAAGAATATTAGATAATAGGTTGAATTAATTGAAAGTGATTTCCAAGCTTAAAGAATTCTAAATGAATTAAGGTCAAAACCTTATTCTAACTAAATCTAACTCATATAAAAATAGTACGGTAAAGAACCTTAGGAAACATATTTAATATGATTTTTTTAAAATTTTAAATTAAATTAAACTGTTATACTTACGTTATCAGACATGTTTGCTATTTATATTATTAAAATTTTTAATGGTAAATCCAAAATGTTGAAGAATTCACTTTTTTCACTTTAGTGAAAATTCTAAAAAATTTATAGTATAAATTTCCACATGAAAAAAAGATTATAAATCACAAATATTAAATTTGAAAAACAAAAATTTTTAATATATTTTATAGGCCTTTATAATTTTTATATTTCTTAAGATATTTTTACATCAATCACATAAACTTAATAGCATATATAGTAGATGGTTTAAAAAACCATATTAAATATAATCGGTTGTAATTAAAATACTGTTGTAGTTAAATATATTTTTTCTACAATTAAAATTTAATAGTTTTATAACTTTTTCAAGTTTTCAATAGCGTTATACGCTTCAAATCACAATTCCTTTTAACACTCTTCTTCACTGCACTATAAACAATTTTATTAAAAAAAAGGCACTCATTTCCATGCAACTACTTTCCTTACGAATTTTCATATTTTATAAATTTCTTTACAGGATTTTTTAATTGTACAATTTTTTTCTTTTTAGTATACCATAAATCATAAGCGTAATATTTTGTAATATTAAAAAATATATATTTGAAATTTTCATATAGATTTTAACTACATATAAAATATTTGATCTGAGAAAAGAAAAATAATTAAATTTTTAAATTTAATAATTAACGAAAGATATATTTTAAGGATATATGCGAGATTAAATTAAAAATTATGTTAAATTTTTTTTTCCCTTAGTTTTCTTTAAAAAATTTAAAACAACCCTCTAAAAAAAATATATTTTTATAATATAATTATATATTTTAGTGTAATATTTGGGATATAAAAAATTAATATAAATTCAAATATGAAATTAAGGATATCCTCTATGATAACAGTTCCATTTTATGGTTAAAAATTTTCTTTATTTGCCATTAAATTCTAATTGGAGGGCATTATTTAAATAACCATGTTCATATCCATATTATAAGGATAATAAATTTTTATTTTACTTTTATTTGAATATTTAAAAATTTTTTGAATTGTATTATGTAATCTGAATTTTTTTTTTCTTATAAATAAAATAAATATCCTTCTCATTTAAATTTAATATTTCTTTAATTTCATAATAATAATTTTATATATGTATTTAATAAAATATCCTCTAATAATATATACAATAAGGAATTTAATGTTAAAGTTCCTTTTAAAACATTATGCAAATCATTGGTTAATATTTAGTTGGCCGTGAGCCCAGTTATTCTCATCATTTCTTTTATATACTATATTTTTGGATATTGTTATAATTAATTTTTTTTTTTTAATTTTTATTAAAAATATAATTAAACAAAATGTCTAAATTAATTATGTACAATTAATATCTTTTTTTTTTTATTTTATTTTAAAAATTCAATTAATTTTGTATATCCTTTTTTCGAAAAATTAAAAAAAAAAATCACTTTTTTTTTCTTTGCTCTTATAAATGAAAAAAAGCGATAATACACTCTTGCGTGTTCTAGAAATCAAACTGAAAACTTTGAATTTCGCACAGCATTTACCTATCTTTTCATATTTCATCTGGGTTCTTTTCAATATAAAAAAAAATTCTTATATATATACATATGAATATAATAAAAAGCTTTATATATCCACATACATACATACATAAATGTAATATATAATTTATGTAAAAAGTTGTTTTAAATAAGTATGTATGTATATGTATGTATATATATGAAAAAGTTTTATTTAAAAATAGAATATTATAAAATATCAAAATAAACGTGTATATACAACAAAAATATTTTAATAACGTAGGAGCAATAACAGAATATATAGAACCTAAAAAGCATCAGCAATATACTATATCTAATGTGTATATGTATGTATATGTATATCGTTAAAAAACAGGACCAGCCATCTAACAATCGGTCAATATAAGAATAACTTGTAGGATCCTTCATATATTAAATATATACATAATAAATGCATAAACATATGTATACATATATAAAATGTGCAATGTAGACTTTGACTTACTGTTATATATATAACATATTCAAAATACATATATTGAATATATACATATATAATATGGTACTGGTATAGTATATGTAAAGTTTAACGTCAAAAACTAGGAAGTATGTATACAAAACAAATTAAAATAAGAGAAGAAAAATGAAAATAAATAAATTGTATATGGTTTAAATAAAAACTGTTATATATGTATGTGTACATAATATATAAAATTATAATATATAAAGGAATATACAGATTGTGCCGGTTATTAGTGCTTCATTTTGGCTACTACTTGCCGCCAAAGACTGCGGTGGCCTGGGGTATATATCCTCTTGTCTCATTCGATTTTCACCGCCCTCCCAAAATCTATAAAATTTACAAATTTTGGTGCTTTCGTTACTCTGGTATCCACTGTTCTGATATTCCAATGAATTTCAATGGACATAATATTTACAATTTTCAGAAATTTTTAGACTCCAACCATTACCGTTGTTCAAATTTCGACTTCGCCTCTATCTCCAACTTCAACTTCGATGTCAATTTCGCCTCTGGTTACATTTCGACTCAAGTATATTGAATTAAAATATAAAAAAATACAAGGTTTAAAATTTACAGTTCTGGCCCGAAACAGAGCTATTAAAAACTAAATTTTCTATTAATATACTTATTCGCTAATCTCAAAGTTTAATATTTTTACATTTTAAGTTTTAATTCTTTCATGTGAACTAAATACAGGTGCATATATTATATGGTTTTGAAACGAATTCTGGTCTATCCTATATTATCATGTACATGTACTAGACATGAAATTTGTATGTAATAAATTCTGTAATATATAAAGAATGTATAAAAATATGTATAATTATATATGACTATTTTATATACTTTATACGGGTAAATAAGAGAGTATTACATAAAAATTGAGAGAATACACATGATGTAGAAAAATCCTTGTTTTGTATACAAAAAATTTTTTCAAAGCCGTCTCGGTCAAGGACGTTTGATTGAGATAAATTTTTCTTAATATGTATATAAATTTATTTACCTATATATATCCTATTAATCTATGTATATATTATACTATTATATGTATATTATTTTGAAATACTTGGTATATATTTGTGTATCTATACCCTTATGTAGCATAATTCAGTAAGTTCAAAATTTTTACGTATGTAATACGTATATGTATACGTATATAAAGTTAAGTGTATGTTTTTAATTTATGTACGGTTCATATATAAAAACACGGAAATAAAAGAATGAGTAGTAAAAGTTAACAAGAATAAAAAAAAAAGAAAGAATTTTGGATTAGAATTTTTTCGTAGCTTTTTAACTAACTGGTTTTGTTTTTCTTTAGAAAATTAAATTTTCTCATCATAATATTGAACAGGAAATTATTCATACATTTATAAGGAAATACGTTTAAGAATGTGCATAATTTGAGTGTGTATATATGTTTATATATTATTGGAATTATTAAAGATTTGATATATTTTTGTGTTTATGTTTACGTAATGCTGTAGGAATTTGATTGACGTACCCTGTTCATGTTAACTCTGATAGATTTATTTCTTTTTCTACATTTCTTTTGCATGATACTTTTAGCTTGTCAAGTTTTCTATTTTCAAATGAATTGGATTTCAGGACTTTAAAAATTTGGGTTGTTCACCAGTAGTAGCTCAATTCCTCCAAATTATAATAAAAATGTTAATAACATGTTACAACAATAAATTTAAATACATACTGTAAAAAAAAACAGAAGCTAATTTCTTATAAGATTGCTGTTTCGAACTCTTCGAATTGTATGCAAAATAATTTCCTTAGCATTTGTCAAAGAAATTGGTTCGTATATCTAGTGTAATTATGGAAAATTAATTTTTAAAAGACCTTAATTCGTTGTTGTCATAGCCTTAAAGTTCTTTAAAATTACAGCGCCAAAACTCCTTGCTCTTTATGCTCTCCTACTATATGCCATCATAAAGCAATGCCCAACAATAATTTTTATTTTCAAATTGCACGTACTGCACTTATTGTTTCAACTTACACAAGGAAATTTTTTTCCTAAGTTGTAATGCTAACAATTACTATTATTCTTAAGAAGAAATAAAAAATGTAAAAAAAAAACATTGTCTGTAGTCTGAACTATAAAAATCAAATTAAATATTTAAATAACAAGTTCATGTTCACAAGTTATTTATATACTTGTATATTTGATAATCAATGAGAGTACAATTAAAAGCTTAATAGTCCTTATGACTTTTACAATATAATTTTTAAGTGGGTAGGTCATTAATAAACTTTTTTAAAAAGTTTTCCTAAAGAAAATTCTAAATTACATAGAAAAATTTCACAATTTTAAATGTGTACTGTGAATAAGAAAAATTTCAACAAGAACTTTGTTAAATTTAGTTTGTAATTTGAAACATAGATGTCTTTTTATGGAGAAAGCTTATAAAAGCTTAAAATATCTAGATTTACAAGTTTTTGTTTGTCTTTGGATCCTTGCTAAAATGATAAAAAGCTTTTCTAAAAACTTTGTTTTGAAAATTTCTGTTTTTGTTTGTTGTTTCGTTTTTTTCGTTCATTTCCTTTTTTATTCTTTCCACATTATCTGATATCCATGCCTGATATCAGCAGTGTCCCTTTTATTTTGATTTTTCTAATTTGGATATAGTTAGCGACATCTTTGGATTATTTGAAAATTATAAATGCAAGTAACGTTTTTATTTAAAATATTATTGATTACAGTTTAGTGAAGGGTGTATTAACTTTGGTATAGACTTTATAGCTACCTGGAGGTGTTGAATGTAATAACATCAAATTTTCAGAAATTGTTTCTTTTTCGCCAAGGAGGCCTTTGTAATTATACTGATTTGTACTACGGAACGGTGAGAAGGTACGATATTGCTATATCTTTTGGATAGAAGGACAGCGATTGGAGCTCTCGAGTTAGTTCTCTTTTGGTGGGGTGGAGCAGCGGCGCATTGATGGTTCCTAGGTTCCGGGTAACAGCGAGGTACGGGGAAATGAGGAAATGGCCGACTGTCTTGCAAGATCTGGGGCGTGCGGGGTGCCGATTTGTTCGATGAATCGATGTATCACTTGCTGAAGGAATTCATTGGCACTATAGATATAAGGAAACTAAAAGGGTAGTGGTTTTGGAAAGGAAGCTTTTCCCACCACGCAGAGCACTGGAGCTCTGCAAGAATGAGAAGAAGACTAAGGTGTTGTTGGGATACGGTAGAGGTAATCTCAGCGTACTGGTTGGGGTGCTAATGGGTACTGCCTGTATTGAGGAAAATGACCAAGAGCCATTACAACGGATGCCTGTTGAGGTAGTCAAGATATTGCGTAGATGGAAGATGTGGAACATGCTTTTTTTGCCCGTTCGTCTTTGATGCGGAAGAGGAAGGCGAAGTTTTTGAGGTTGCTCTTGAGATTGCCAAGGAGGTTGATTGGTTCCGGTTGATGGTTTTTGGACCTTCTTGTTGGGCAAGTACATGAATATTGCCTTTACAGGTTAAGTCGAATTGAAGTTACTGAGACTTAATTTATTTGAATCTGCGTTATAAAATAGATTCAAGTTTTTTTTGACATTTCCTAAATATGCAGGTTTTAAACAAAATTTACTAATACAAATTAAAGGATCTTTATATCACTGTTTCTAGATACCTTTTTACGAGAAACATGCCAAGGAAATGTACATATACACGAAGTACGAGTATGACAATATTTTCAATATATTTGTATATCGAAAAAGGGTGATTTCTAAATGTACACTTCAGGGATATTAACCACAATTTTTAATATAAACTTTCAAATTCTATTTACATATAAAATCAAAATATACAATTTTAAATAAATTTTGAAAAATTGATTTAGTTTAATCATGTAGAAAAAAAAAATTTATAATATTACGCGGTTTTTACGCATTTTAACTTTACAAGTAGATAAATTTTAAATATTTACACCAAGCGAATACAATATTGTTCCTCTATGTACGACTTCACAGCTATATAAGCATATGTGCATATTGTATACTATCATATCGTCTAATGGGTATGTAATTTGTCTATAATATAAAATATTTTATACTATTAGAAGAGAAGCAAGCAATAGGAAAAGCGATGTAAAAGTGAGTAGTCAAAGCATTATATGAAAAATATGAAAAATATTTTATATGAAAAGATTTGAATAAAAATATAATTATGGGAGAAATTGATGAATGTCTACACATTCTAATTTTTATATGAATGTCTTTGAATGAAGACTAACTTTTGTTTAAATCATATTTTCAATATGAGATTTCTAATAAATAATAAAATTAAAAATTATTAATAAAAAAAAAAATAAATCTACTGTACT